ATCAATCTGTCATTTATAAAAAGAATAAAACAAAGAAAAAATTTAAACTAACAGTATCATGTGAAATCGGTGATCAGAAGTGTGAGAGTGCATAAGTGGAGAAGGAACACAATCAAACCTTCACACCAAAAGGAGGAGGATGGAGAACAGAGAGCCAGTACTGAGCTGTGAGAGGGTTTTTAAAGGAGCACGCAGGACTCGCCTCCAGTACCGGCACAGAAAGCAGCCACACGAACAGCAACAGGAAGGTCGTTCCCACAGACAGCAAATGTTTCACACGACTCAATTACATACAAAGTCAGGAATGATGCAAAAATACGCAACTTAAATACAGGAAATGTGCGTCATTCACATTAATGTGAAATATTCACATTAAGCAAAAAGTATTGTGTATCGAGGACCGGATGCAAAGGAGGACAGAAAGCAGAGCCGGCGGGATAAACACTGAGGGGGGAAGTAACAGAGTACAAATACCTTCATTAATGTACTGCTAATGTACTCAAATATTTATTTTACATTACTTTTTACTTTAACACACTTCAGCCTGTCTGCTGCTGACCTCCACTGTCGGCCATTTTAATACACTGTGATTAGTCTCTTTGTCCATGTTGACTGCTGACTGGAGGAAAGTTGCTTTATGGGGAGAGGAGAGGGGAAAGAGACAGTGGAGGGAAATAACAGAAAGAACTCTCTGAGAGTCTCTGGAGAGGCTGAACTCCATTCAGAAAACAAGCATTTTAAAAGTTGTTTGGTTGTTGCCTTGAGGACAACGCAGAAAACTGCATCATGATGTAGTTTCTTCTGCATCCTTCTGATCCGTTTATTGCAATCAAATACAAATAAATCTGTTATATTAGTGGTGTAGTAAGCCAGATTAAGGGTGAATATTTGAGGGTTTATTTATTCGCGGTTAAACATAAGGCAAAAATTCCTGTTGCGTTTGGTGTGAACAGTGTTGTTGCAATACCGAGACTGACCACTAAGACACACGGGGGCGCCATATCACATCTGAAAATGCATTTGTTATTAAAGACATCATTTATTGATTTACTTTTACGAGGCGTGCTGTCCTCCTGCTCTCAGGACTTTGAACTTTCACCTTTTTGATGAAGATGCTTCAGATCACAACCGTCCTGGAGCACCTGAATGTAACGCAGCCTCAGCTTGTGTGACCTGTTCATAGATGTGTCATTAAACACAGAAGAGGAGGAGAGGTGGAGCTCTGTCGCCATCTCACAACCTCATCAATCACAGAGTGGAGTGAGCGTCCACCTCCTCCTCCTCCTCCTCCTCTTCCTCTGAGAGCAGCCATCAGTTATCCTGACGGGGAGTGAAGTTCTCAGCAGCTGGTTTGTCCTCGCCGTGAATGAAGTCACAGCGAGTGAAGAGAAGGACGCTGTGATATTCTGTCATTTCACCGGTCAAACAAGTCACATAAAACTATTCATTTGAGTCATTTCATTATTAAACCCTACAGAGAGTTTTTACTGGTTAAAATGAAAGTTACAACTGATTATAAAATATTTATTCTACACTGTAAAACCTGACAACACATCTTAATAAAAGTAAGTTAACATAAATGAATCCTTAAAATAACTCACTCATTCACATCAATTAAACTCAGTATTTTAATTATTGATGATATAATTCCAATTTGTTCCCCTGACTCACGTTCTTGAAGTGTACTTTATATCATTTTAAAAGCATCATAATGCTGTATGTATATATATATGTTTTTATTTCAGTTATTAATCATCATAAACCCAAATATGCATCCAAATAATTCTTAATGATCCTCCAAAGTGTAAAGATTTAACGTTTTGTGTTTTTTGTCTCTTTATGTGGCACACTGTTAGTTTTCTTTAAATAAGCAGTAATTTTATAATTATAAGTAAGTATGTATTGGGAAGTTAACATTGTTAAATTAAACTCATTTAAAATGTCTGAACAGAATTTATCTGAACTTAAATGCATCTTCTTTATACAAATGTTACCACGAAGTTTAAATTTACTCAGTTTTCTTTCACTAAAACAAATCATTACCTTACCTGTCAAAACTGCTGGCGTATGATAAAAACTATTTATAATTAATTGATGCAGTTGTGTAATGTTACATGGATTTGTTTGTTAACTGACAGATATCTTGTATTATTATGGAAGTTGAATAAATGTTTATCAGTGTATAAGCATTGGTTTTTATCAGTGAAAACAGCAATAATTACTGTAGTTTCACAGATAATCATTCATCATTAAACAGCTGTGGCTTCATCCCGACTGTGGACGACACTGAACTCAGCTAACTTGGGATTCCCGTCCTGAAAATAAACTCCAAGTGTGTTGCTGACTTCATCCGGAGACAGGAGGCCATGTCAGAAATGTGACAGATGAAGGTTCATCAGAGTGTTTCTAACACCGGCAGCAGAGCCTCCAGCTGAGAGAGCACACACCAGCGACCCCAGGTGCAGTATGGGTACCAGACAACTGAAACAGAGGCTCAACCACTTTGCTGCTGCACCCCTCGCCCCCCCTTCAAGGTGAAACTGTACACCTGTGCACTGTGTGGTCACAGTAGTCCACTCAGGGACGAAAAACTTTGAAAAATCTAAATCATCCACCTCCAAAGAACTTGCTGGCCACACTTTAGAAACATTCACAGACTGTAGATGAGGTTTTTAAATGAACCAAAGTCAAACATAACTTTTGGAACAGGCTGCATCTATACTGCTAAGTTTCCCTAAAGTGACTTGGCAGCAGTTTGAGGTGCTGCTCCGCTGAAGAGTACATAAGATTTTATCTCCTTGACCCTCAGTACTATCATTAAACTCATACATATCAAGACAACCCTCTAATGTTAATGCTCAAATGGAATTATAGTTTAAACCAACTCTGACATCTTAAAGTTCAACAGTTCACAAAAAATATGAAAGACGTATTTGTGCTTGCAGTAAATCCTGGTACATCAGGGGGCGAATACATTGAGTGTATGTGTGCTCAATTTCCCATCTATGTATTGATAATTGATAATATCATTCTAGTGCTCATAACACAGTTTGATCACCAGGAGGAGCCACTTGTGATGTTTGATTATTATTATGTTTTACAAGTCATTTATTTTCTGTGATTTTTACCTTACATTCAGGTTCTCAGATGTTGCTGAGTGAAAAGGTTTTAACCCCCTGGGGTTGCAGAACATGCTGGATGTTTCTATTAATATCTCTGTGATAATGCAGCACAGAAATATGTTTTAGAGACTGTCTGAGTCTGTAGACTCTCAGCTTCCAGGTCTATATTCTTGCAAGAGCTTAAGTGATTCACACAGTGTGCTAGGAGGAAGAGAGCGTCGTCGGCCTTTCTGCGTGTCTAATTGGTCGGTCTGAAACTAATTTATCTATTTATATACTATTTTATTCATATATTTCATTATTTTTGTGAACTCTAGACTTTGATAAACCCAATACAGTAGCTGCACATTTGTATGTAAAACTCATGGGTTATGCAAGTCCCTTTTAAAGCTGTATGTAAGCTGTGTAAGAACTGAGGAAATGCTATTAGACCCCAAAGGGTTAACAAGATTGTTCCTCCTGGGTAGCTTTTGGCTCTGGCTGTGGTGGTAACGCTGTGTTTTAAAGGGTTAATCTGAGCCTCAGACTCAGCAGCGTCTGTCTCTGTGGACTTACATACCAGCCACGAGTTCAGCCGGGTCGAGTACGGCAGGTCAGAGGGGTCAAATCTGCAGAGGAGATACCAGCAGCTGCAGGAATCCAGAGCAAAGTTCAAAACAATATCCAGCACAATGGACGAGATACATACTCTTATTTTGATATGAAAATAATGAGCGCTATGGTCCAACATACTCCATCGACAAAACCAGTCATTTTACTGAGCAGATCATCGTAAAAAACACTTCAAACTGGACAGAAACACAACAAAACTCACCCAAACATCTTTGTTAGTCTTTCCAACAATCAACTCTGGTTTAGTTACATTATGGAAAGGATCCCTACAGAGATAGACCTTTAGTTTAACCACAAACAGCCGTAATATCACTATCACTCTCCACC